CTACCAAGTTGCATCCGGTCTTTATGTGAAAAGGGTTTTTGGTTGCATGTAGCCCGTCCGGTTAGGCCAGTGTCAAACCTTCAGGTTTATTGGGCACGGATTCCGTGAGTTCTTGTCATGCAGAAAAAAAGAAGAAAATGAAAAAGGAGGAAAGAAAGCAATTATAAAAGAGCTGCATAATTTAAAGAATACATCTTTGGAATCGGTTTTGTGATACATACATGTACATGTGTATTTAGCGGGATTTTTTTTGCAAAAAGGTTAAGTACTAGAGTTAATTGCAATAACGCAAAATAATAAAGTAGAAAAAGTGAATATTTATAGCAAGCTCGACGAGCTGGCCCGAAGGGCCTGCTCGCAAAGCGAGCTTTACGGTAACGCGAGTACCTGCTAAGTGATGGTTTTGAAAACTTTCGTCCAAAGTACCGAATTGGACACATCGCAACCTTTCGAAATTAAAGATAACGATAAAAACTGAGGAATTCTGACTGAAAACGGATGTGTAGACTGGTCACCCGCACGTCTATGGGAACCATAATTGGACAGGGAACCAGAATAACGGAAGCTGTGTATAAAAAATGAAAATCGAAGGCGCCATTTTGTTTGAAATCTGATAAATAAAAACAATTTTTTGTCGAATTTTGTTGTGAAAACTATCTAGAATGAAAGAAATTGGTTTAACTAAGAAAATGAATCCGAACACCAATATCTTTTATTCAGTCGTTAACGCTGTACAGACGTTTAAAGTATTGTTTACGTGACGTCACAATGTAGCGCCAAACAGCACGTGCAAAACAAACAAATCAAGTACGCTATTTTAATGTCGCAAACGTTTTAAGTTTTACATTTATTTCACTTTAAATAATCTTTATTTCGCTTGAAAAATTATAGAGTGAAATAAAATAAACAAAGTTTTATCAACGTTTTCAAAACTGGGCGGAGCCATATTTAACACAGTACGTGTGACGTCACACGCACTCGTTACTGCATTTGAAATAAAAATGAGCCATTATTTCATACTATTTCACGTAAAAAGTACATCGAGCTCGCTTTGAGGCTTTGCCTTTTTCATATTAGCAAGCTCGACGAGCTGGCCCGAAGGGCCTGCTCGCAAAGCGAGCTTTACGGTAACGCGAGTACCTGCTAAGTGATGGTTTTGAAAACTTTCGTCCAAAGTACCGAATTGGACACATCGCAACCTTTCGAAATTAAAGATAACGATAAAAACTGAGGAATTCTGACTGAAAACGGATGTGTAGACTGGTCACCCGCGCACGTCTATGGGAACCATAATTGGACAGGGAACCAGAATAACGGAAGCTGTGTATGAAAAATGAAAATCGAAGGCGCCATTTTGTTTGAAATCTGATAAATAAAAACAATTTTTTTGTCGAATTTTGTTGTGAAAACTATCTAGAATGAAAGAAAATGGTCTAACTAAGAAAATGAATCCGAACACCAATATCTTTTATTCAGTCGTTAACGCTGTAAGGACGTTTAAAGTATTGTTTACATGACGTCACAATGTAGCGCCAAACAGCGCGTGCAAAACAAACAAATCAAGTACGCTATTTTAATGTCGCAAACGTTTTAAGTTTTACATTTATTTCACTTTAAATAATCTTTATTTCGCTTGAAAAATTATAGAGTGAAATAAAATAAACAAAGTTTTATAAACGTTTTCAAAACTCGTTATTCATTTCACGACAGGGGCGGAGCCATATTCAACACAGTACGTGTGACGTCACACGCACTCGAATATAAATGAGATTATTTCATACTATTTCACGTAAAAAGTACATCGAGCTCGCTTTGAGGCTTTGCCTTTTTCATATTAAAAACGGTGTCATGAACATGTTAATACATTTATATAATATTTAGCCAAATTAGCCTTGTATAAATCTTTCTTCCAGATACAAGTGGTTTATTCCTTTTGCATACACGACCAGCACCGAAATGAGATTTAACGTAACATCCGATGACGTCATGATGATGTCAAAAGATCAAGATTCAGGTAGATATGACGTCATATCGTCATTTTTTCCGTTATCACTTTTGTTTTGTAGTTGCTTTTACATTAATTAAACGTTTACTTGCAAAGTATAATATGTTAGTGTTCTAAAGAAATTAGAAACTTCGACGGAAACGGCAGCGACAGGAGAATATTTTTAATTTCTGTAGAACAGCTTCGGATGAATACTAACATACTTAGTGTCAAGCTTTATTTTGCCTCAAAAGCACTCATTTTATTACGTCACTTTGCGGTTCTATTAAGTACTATAAAAACTAGAAGGCGACTATGTATATGTTAGTGTTCATCCGAGCTGTTCTACAGAAATTAGAAACTTCGACGGGAGCGAAAGCGACAGGAGAATGTTTCTACTTTCTGTAGAACAGCTACGGATGAATACTAACATATACTTAGTGTCAAGCTTTATTTTGCCTCAAAAGCACGCATTTTATTACGTCACTATGCGGTTCTATGAAGTACTTTGAAAATTAGAAGGCGACTATGAACGGAATTCGATATAGTATCGACTTTTCTTCTTCTTTGGAAATTAACGCACTGAATTTATAAGAAATACAGCGTTTTCATTGGATGACAAATAAACCTGGACACTAAATTTGTGGTTTGGAACAATGTATTAAAAGTTAAAGGAATTTTGATAAAAATACACATTATTTAAGCTTCCAATTGTACTGGCTATTTATAATTGCACTGGTTACATAATTATGTTAATATATAGTCGGTTTAAGTAGCTTACGGTCCCCTTGTTAGAAAGAATATAATAAGATATCATTTCTATACAGTTCTAGGTATATGTTAGTGTTCATCCGTGCTGTTCTACAGAAATTAAAAACTTCGACGGGAGCGATAGCGACAGGAGAATGTTTTAATTTCTGTAGAACAGCTACGGATGAATACTAACATATTTAGTGTCAAACTTTATTTGGCCTCATAATCACTCACTTTATTACGTCACTTTGCCATTCTATGGAGTACTATGAAAAATAGAAGTCGACTATGAACGAAATTCGATATAGTATCGACTTTTTTTCTTTTATTAAAATTAACGCACATAATTTTTAAGAAATACAGCGTTTTCATTGGATGACAAATAAAGTCGGACACTAAACATTTATAAGGTTCATAAAATAAAATTTACGGTTTGAGTAGGAAGCTTGAAAGCTTTTTTGAATAAATCAAGTTTGGTCATAAGAGATTTGTATGAACAAAGAAAACCGAACCATTTACTTGACCAAATTGCAGTTCTTAGCTCTTTTTGTAGAAATGGGTAAGATAATGATGATAAAGATTATGATGATGATGTTGATGATGATGATGATGATGATAAAAATAAATGAAAAAATAAAATGAAATAAAGGACAACCAAGATTTTATTATATACATATTAATGAAATATTGAGAAAAATTGATGACGAATAAAATGTACATTGTATTTTTATTTTCCGTATTTTCACAGTAAAAAATATTTTCACTGCTTTTAAACATATTTTCCGTTTTTTCACAGGTGTCTTGCCGGATAATATTCAGCATAAATACAAAATATAGTAGAAAGTCTTTCAAATTCTGATGTCAAAAAAGAAAAAATTGTATATAATAAACAGACAATTCAAGATTTTCTACAAATACAGGAATAATTTTCATCTTGTAGAAAATTATCATATTTCACTTGAGTCTACCGCCACTCAATAATTATTCATTCTAATACCATTTTCGAAGAAAACAAATACTGTATTGATAGCAAAAAACCTGAATATCCTCTATTTACTTACTGAACATTTATAAATCTCATTTCTACAGTTCATATGTTGAGTGTTGTAATAAGCGCCCAATTTTGCTAAGCCAGTATTAATCACATTGAAAAATTTATTCACATGGAAAAAAAAGAAGAAAAATTCTGATCAAGTATCATCAAGTTTAGATATCAACTTTGCTTTTGAGAGATTTGTATAACCAAAGAGACCCGAACCTTTGCTTGACCAAATGCAGCTCTTGTTGTAGAATCGTTCCGAAAAAAGGGTGTCCAAGATTTACTTATAAAATTCAATAAAAAAAAAACATTTATAAATCTTATTTTTCTCAGTGGCAATCAGGGACAGCAATATACCAACACCTAATGGCAATAATTGGGTAATTGGGAACCCCATGCAGTATGGATATTACCGTGTAAATTATGACGACAGAAATTGGAGAGCTTTGATAGAGCAACTGAAGTCTGACCATGGGGTAAGTTTATTCATTTCTTGCGCAACTTTCCGCTATAATCGTAACTTTCCGGATTTTAAAGTTACTTTAAAGAGCGTTTGCTTGATAAGACATTTTGTTACCCACGGTCATGTAAACGCTTTTTAAATTGCTATTTGTTACGTTTAGTAGCAGAATATGTCACCGGAATGAATAAAAATATAATTCTTATACATGTTTTTGTTGTTTTATCTTAAACTTTTTGTGACTATCACCATATTTAACTTTTTCATCAAAATCTATAATTAAAAAAGTTATATAAACAATAATTTTGTCATATGCCGTTAAAGTAACTTCGACTTTCCCTTGCAAGGTAGAACTTTATTAAACACAACCCGGCCTTTTCCCTGCCATTTTGGGAAAAAGTATTTAGACCAGTTTGGAAAATTTTGTGTCATAAATTCGCTTGATTGGGAAAGATATTTGGTATCTCTTTAATTCACCTTTATGCTCTTTTGACATAGGATTCTAAATTGTGCAACACTATTTATTCCAACCATTCCAAATATCATTCAAACTTTATCAAACACATTAATATTTATAATGAAATGTATGGAAACATCCGTCTGATACCATAATGGAATGAACTCCTGAACATTTCTCAGTTTTGATATTGGCGAATTTTTCAGTTTGATCGAGAATTTGTTTTAAAGTATATGTCAGTGTTTATCCGTGCTGTTCTACAGAAATTAAAAACTTCGACGGGAGCGAATAAGGACGGCTACGGATGAATAAGGCCGCTATTCCATTAATACGTGATCAGTAGTCTAATTCTTTGATGTTTCAACTGTTTTTGGTATTAGAATGAAATTATATCATATTTTACGAATAATTATCTTCTGTTCGCTATACTTCAATTAAAAGTATATAGAAAATAATTCGTACCTTTGGAATAATACCCACGGACATGCCCCGGACACGGATCACGGACGTGGGTCACGGATCGAAAATTAACGCACATAATTTTTAAGATTGGATGACAAATAAAGTTGGACACTGAGGATTGATTGGGAAAACATAAGCATATTTGCCATTGGGAATGGGATTGGTATTCTGACCAGTGGTGACACGGGAAAAAGGGCATGTCAAGGGGCATTATTCTAAAAGCTTTATTTTAAGAGTGATGCCCCCTTTTTACTAACAAATAATAAATGTTAATAAACACTTAATTTGTCATACATAAATTCATTTGTTTTCATAGGTTGTTCACGCTATAAATAGAGCACAGATAATCAATGACGCATGGAGCTTAGCAAGGTAAAATTCAAACATATCTACTATAAATCTCATGGTTCGTTAAAGGCCCATCATGCCTTAGAAATACAATATTTTTTATTTCCCAAAAAACTTTGGAATCTTGTCAAAGTTTCCAAAAATATCATCATTTTCCAAAAACTAATTTTGCTCATTTTACTCTGTTTGCAAATGATATATTTTAATTAGTGAATTAGTATCTTATGGATGTCAAATACTACTTTGTTTACATTTTGCTACCTTTAAAACACATCACTGTATGTTCAGCGCTTCTTTTTTCAGTTGTTAAATATCTTACATACTTTTAATCCATTATTAAAACATTATCAAACACATTTAATTATGACATTTACGTGGCAACATTTGAGTTGAGGCAAAACATCTGAAAGACTTCAATGTTCAAAGGAAACCTTGTTAAATAAAATGTGATTAAAATATGCTCCTTTATTAATCTTGTACATGCTTCAAATTTGTGTAATTTAATTTATTAAATGATAACAAATTAATTATTACTTAAATATATACAATGCTCATCCCCGAGTTAAGAATCTTAATGAAAGAAATTTATTGAAATCTATAAATTCTTTACTGAATATGTCTAATTTGAACAAAAGAACACATAAAATATGTACGGGAAACTGCTTTAAGAACACACCGAGTTCTTCGACATATTCCACGGTTCATTTTAAGACAATTTACCGGCAGATATTTGATATTGATACCTAACCATCATTATTTATAGATCGGGAGACTTGGATATGAGTTTAGCTTTAAGAACCACCGAGTACTTGAACAAAGAGAGGGAGTGGATACCCTGGTCAGCCGCCAGCAGTCAACTCGGTTTTGTTGGGTCAATGTTAGAAAGACACCCGCTTTACGGTTCTTTTACGGTAAGAGAGGCATCTGTTATTATATCAAAGACTTTAACTTTAGTGGCACCTGAAAATGTATTAAAGACGTTGATTTAGATATAACTTTAAATAATTCTTCGTTATCAGTTTGTTGTCATGTGTTAAACGCTTTCAAACTAAAAATACTACAATAATTATATATAAAAACAATACTAGGGTAAAATAATCTCATTTGATATTATTTATGAGGAAAACGGACCGTAACTGGCATAAAATTAATTAAAATTAATGCTAACCACCATATTGGCATTTACCTAAAATGCTGACGTCACAGTGGAACATACCCTCTCACGTGACTAAAATTAACGGAACTTATCGAAATAAGACGAGAGCGATTACGATATAGATGGACATTTGACGGTATTGATACCGGTATATCTATTTCATCCTAGGAAATAATAAAACATACAAATTAGGTCAAAGTCATCTGTTCTATACATTTTCTATTTAAAGAAAAATTCTCTGAGTTCCTTATTTCTTCTTCAGAAATTCATGCAAAACAAGACAACTTCGGCGTTCAATGAATTAACAATGAACAACACCGGCGCAACACATTTAGAATCGTAAGTAACACTGTTGTTTACAGTAGCTTTTAAAACATTCTTTTCCTTACCCAAAGCTGGAATCAAAAGTAACTAGCCTTTGACACCAGTTTACACCCGTTTTAAGCCATGATAGATGGCATCAAAGTAATTCGCCCTTGAAACCACTTCAAACCAGTATGAAGCAACGATAGCTGGAATCGAAAGTAATTTGCACTTGAAACCAGTTTAAAGCCAAGATTTCTGGCATCGAAAGTAAATAGGTTTTGACACCAGTCTAAAGCCAAGGTAGCTGGAATCGATGAAATTTGTTTTTTAAACCAGTTTAAAGAAAGCCAGGATAGCTGGAATCAAAAGTACATCCGTACAGTTTGTCCTGGTACTATGCTTTGGGTAATTCAATTAACCTAAACTTAGAATTCTTAGAATTGACTGTTCCAAATTCAGAACAGACCAAATCTATTACAAAAATAGCACGTTATGAGTTAATACCTCAAGCATAGTTGCGTATGTCAAACTTTAAAGATTTCACTTTTGTCGGAAATATGTATTATAATATGATCAAGGGGAATTGCTACATTTTATGCATAACATTGTAAAAAAACAAAACAAACATACTTTATTTGTGATGTTAGAATGTGGACATCATATTTATTGTTGAGCTTTCGTTTCATTGTGCTACCGAAAACTTTAAATATGTATAAATTGAAAATATCTATGAATTATCTTGGCTTCAACAAGTACAATGCAAAAACAAACCTTATTTCTACTCTCAAGTTCACCTTATTTGACTATTTTAATACAAATAAAGGATTTCTTTTAAATTTATACATGTATATGCCAGTCGCACTTTAGCAAGGTCGCTATGGTATCATATTTCTTTGTACAAAAGGTAAATACCGTCAACAATCACAATGTTGACGTCGTGCCTATAATATTGCAGATATGAACAAACTCTAGCACTTATCACTGGAATTATATTCTGTACAATCAGTAATTAAGATCCACAATCACATTTTTTGTTCGGAGATGATGGTGATATTATATTTATTCGTTAGGAATTTATCGTCGACAGTCGTCTAGCACGTGACTATAATGGTGTTTATATCTTTTGTTCTCACATGACAGGTACCTACGTTCGACAATTACGAGTCTAGCGTGCGATTATGGCATCCAATCATGCATAGATGAAGCAAAACGACTTTTTAAGGACTGGATGGCTAAACCGGAAGTCAATCCGTGAGTTACTTTAGATACCGTTATTGTTTTATCAATAATAAATTATTGAGAGAACAGTATCCTATCGGTGTAAAACATCTATCAACTCGTGTGTAAGAAAATGCGAAAATGCGCTTATTCCAACAATTAACTTCTTATAAAATGAACGAAATCCTAATCTGTTTTTTTGCGAAATCTTAATTTCCATTGTAATTTTCATTATGTTGATTAAATGGAAATCCAGAACATTACTTGTATATTGCTTTCGAAAGCAACTAGAAATATGTACGTATTAGTTTTAATACTGGTATCAAAAAACGATTTCTTTTTTATTCTAAATCTGTGGACAAAACCGACAGTCTTGTTAATGATACGAAAGCAGATTTATTTTGAAAATAACAAATGAAAAGTTAATTCATATAAATTTATATGTCTTGCTTTCATGAGGTTACATCATTATTTTTAACATTTTTTTTCAGAATTGATCCAGGAATAAAATCTACAGTTTACTGCGTTGCCATCGGAGAGGGAGGTGTTGACGAATGGGACTTTGCTTGGAGCCAATACCAGGCCGCAAATCTTGCAGCCGAGAAATCTAGACTCCTTGCCGCGTTGTCATGCTCAAAAGAAACCTGGATACTGAGTCGGTAAATAAACTCTTTCAAAGAGACTAAACCCTCGAACTTAGCACAGGAAGCAAGTTAACGAATTACTGTGCATAAGACGGGCTTTTATTTTAAGAACAATCAAATTTAATCCCCTTTTGTATGGTGGCTGATTTTTATTGCCATGTCGTATTTACGCTCGGCGGGGCGCCAGACAAACACACGAAAAAGCGTCAGTCAACACTAGTCTTGCTGCGTACTTTTGCTCACCGCTTTGTCGTATTTTCGTGTTTTTGCCTCCGCTAAGCAAGCCGTCAGGCGAACACACCACGAAATACGGCATGCAACATTTTGTCCGAGAACTTTTGCCCGGCGGGACACCAGACGAAAACACAAAAATACGACAACGTTGCCAATGACGTGCTGCCGAGTCTGATATATCCAAATATGTTATCATATGGTTTCCATGTTCTCAAAGGATATCCTCTCGTCTTTCCAGTAACAACCAAAGTAGTTTACTTTTTATTCTATTATGAATTTTGATTCTCAACATTTTATTTTCAGATATTTGGAAATGGCCATTGATGCGAACCAGATTCGCCGACAAGATTCTGTATCGGTCATTGTTTATATATCTAGAAATACGATTGGTCGGTAAGTATTCGACTGGTGCGCCTTTATATCCTCCCTTTTTTTGGTTACCCAACAAAAAGATTATGTATCTGTTATTGCTTATTTATCAAGAAATACAATTAGTCGGTAAGTGTCCGACTACAGATTTTGACTTGCTGTGCCTTTTTAACCTCCTTCTTTGTGGGTCACCCTTCAAAATGCCTTACCGATGGCCTTGTTTGACTGGGCATTTACTGAATATCGCTCCCCATTGATAGTTAGGGGAGGGGTTGCCCAGTATTCAGGTGTCTGCCTTTCAACCAAGGGATCATGGGTTCGAGCCCTTATCAGGCCATGATAACCATGCTTCTACATATTTTGGCATCAGTACTGGCTGGTTCCAGGAAGCGGACTCTAAAGTGATTAATATAAGTTGCAAGACATGTATTGCAATCGAACTTAAATAAATATGTTTAATACCAAACCATTTATGATATTTTCTATGATATTTTATATCATGGTTATGTTTAATTGAAATTATGTTGTGCATACCTCATACATTAGTTATTGCAAACAGTTATTTTCAAAATTTAAAAATGTTGCATGTCGATTAAATGTACATTGTCATTCAATCTTTGACCTGTTGACAGTCTAAAAGACGCCATAAAGGTAAAGGTATCTGTTGTGTCGATCTCTCCTCAGGTCATGACCATGTTCCCTCATGTGACGCCAGTACTGGTCAGTCCTAGGTAACGGACTTGATAGCGGTTTAAATCAGCAACGAACTTTCTTAACAATCAATTCTACAAAAATGTTCACGCTAAACCTGAAAGAAGGTGGTCTTTACATATCTTTGTTCTACACAGATTATCCAGTTGTTTCAGTTTTAATCTTTTCTTTCATCTTCTGGATGCAATCTTATATTTCTACAGCATATAGTCAATATACATTCAATGCTATTTATATAACATTTAATCAAATTGTCACCTTGACAAAAGAAAAACTTAATATATAGGAGTAACTGTATAGGTCAAGTGCACCATATACGTTCTTTGTTCAGAAAATTCAATGTTGCTTATTTCATTGGGGAAGGCCAGTATTATTAGCAACCACTGGTGCTGGAGTAGAGCCCCATGTTATCAGTTAAGCTCAATCTAGTTATATGTATTTATTCATAAGTATTTATTTTCAGATCTCTTGCTTGGGATTTCTTCAGAGCCAAATGGGATTTCCTATTAAATGAGTAAGTAGCATTTCTTTTATTAATACTTTCACCACTAAATATATTAGATGGCAGTACTTTTTCAATGTCTATTAAAATCAATTTTGAAACTTGATACTTGATGTTTTGTAGTTTTGTACTTTGAATTTGAAGATTAATATTTATATTCTTCATTTATTAAAGCTGCGTGCCTCCAGATGAGCGAAAATATCTCAATAAAATCAAATTTGAGAAAAAATGTACTAAGATTTTAGGCAAAGTAAAAATATTCAAGATTCAAGTAATAATTTACATATTATGTGCGATTAATGACTGATTTTTCAGTATTTATAATTATATTTCTACTGCTTTACTAACGCAGTAATGGCAATTTTTGCATATTTTGTCCTCTTTTTCATAATTTCGTGGGCTGTAAGTGCCATTGATAATTTGCAAATTGCTTCTTTTTGGTTATTTCACTAAATACTACTTTTAAATACATTTTCAAAATTTTCATGAAAGTTAGCATGAATCTGGAAGCGTGTTGCTTTAAAATAAATAGTTTGAATTTAGGAGAAAACAAAATATAATTATGCTGCAAACAAATACCACCGATTATTTGTCAAAACTGACGTCATTGGCTGGTTGTGGTCGCATTTGAAACTTCATACAAAAGTCAAGGTCTTGTGGAATCATATGCTTTTTTATTTTTATTACGTTTATGACCTTTATTGTTTTGTCAATATTACAGAACTATTCATTTATCATTTAGAAGCAATATGTAATATTTTATTAGTTATCAAGATTGTTTGACAAGTTATATGGCTCTATATATACGGTTGTTTGGAATCACTCGCCTTATAATGCAAGTTTAAAGACGGTCATATAACCTGTCAGGAACATCTATAACGAATTTATACTACAGCATACTTCCTTTTTAGAGATTTGTTCATAAATTGACAGCAGACGTGTTTATAAAGCTATTAAACGTCACGCTTATCCAATGAAAAGCGACGTTACAAACGCTTTTTATAACAGGAAATGGAAAACGATGAAAAGAATCAATTTTCTATACTGAACTCTATTCACTCTCTATCATTATTAATTCAGATACTACAAAAGCATGGGTTTTATGTCAACCCTGATCAGATATATTTTTACAAAGTTTAACACCGAATTTGAGTTACAACAGGTAATCATTTCCACCAAAAAATATAATAATTTGATGCAAGTCATTTACTCTACCAGACGACAGGACAATGCCGTGATGATACAACCAAACGTTCACTTCTCAAAGTCAGAATAAATCTGTAATCCACCGGATTGTCAAACGTTGAAATTGTTAAATAGGGCTTTATGCCTTATATAATTAAAAGAAAAAAACAGA